ATGCATAAATATTACCTTATAAAAACACTATCCCCCACATTTCGGTGCCTTTTAATACCATGGCACCCTTCGAGGTAAAACAAACGTGTGCGTGTATAAAGTAAGGAATAATAGGTTATGCTTTATGCCTTCTCGTCGAAACTCTTTCATGCATTATATAAAAGCTTGGTGGTTTTCTTAGGTCCAAAGTTGACGTTACGCGTGAATGGTGTCTTGTAGAATATTGAATTTTATAAAATACTTTACTTCGTACGCATACTTAGATAATCATCGCGTTTTATTTAACAAGAGACTTTCAAAAAATTTCTAGCGAGAATCAATCCGTTTGTTGCTCAATTTTATTGGCGTACGCTAATTTCGTTTAACCTTGTCGTCTTCCCAATTGCCATTTTGTAACTATTATTAGTACAAGCGTGTGTTTGTTTACATTATTCGTCACACTAATGAATAATCAACACATGGATCAACATTAACCTACAATGACACCATAGATACTTGTGCATACCTTTTTTCTTTCTGTAAATTAATTGTCAATTTAACTATCGTTTTGTCATCATCTAACACTGATCAATATATTATATATTGTTAATTTGTATCTAATAATTCGTGTATGTTTTTAAAATTAATCGTTCAAATCCATTGTGAGTAAATTAATGTCTATCAAATGATATCATAAACCGTATAAATTATATTTGCCTACATCATCAACACAATGCTCTTGAATGCTTCGTTTGCAGCAAGTATAATGGCGAAGAAAACCCTTGGAAAATTCCACTAGACTACTCAAATTATTTATCTAAGTAAATGAAATTGTTCTCTTATGCACGAAACGCATAAAATTACTTAATACCCATAATATTATTTTTTATAATTCTTTGAAAAACTTAACTATTCTAATCATATTTTATACGTTTTTTCCTTTAATTTCATAAAAACTTTATGTTTGTTTGCGCAAAGCATAGTTAATGTTACACAAAATTAATTTCTTAAACAAAACCCTTCCATATCATATTATTTTTCAATTATTATTCAGCGCTCGATTGTATTCATAAGCATAACTTTATAGTTCTAGCAAGAATGATACCCCTGACATTGGTGTACATAACAACACTGTTTTCCTTCCGCTTATTTGCTCGTTAGGCTTGTAATGAATATATACAGATAGGGGCTGAACTTGAAGGCAATGTGTGTGGTGACAACAATACGATAGCAGTATCAGGTGTCCCTAGAGGCTCGCTTAGCAAAGAAATATGGGAGTCGTTCCCAGTGAAAATTACACGTTTCCTGGGAAAGCATACTTGGCGTGTGTGGTACGATTTTTTCTTGTAAGAATTTGGAAAACATAACGTTGGATTGTTCCCATAAGCTATGGCAGACGAATGCACAACTGCAGACGTATTTGCTAGATACTCGCAAAGATTAATCCTCAGGCGACATTGTAATAATGCGGCAAATAGAGAAACAAATACACGCCCTAGTTTGGCGGTACCTAGCTGACAAATTGCTCGGGTGCCAGTGGGTTCTATGCATTCTAATACATAGGTTTCTTTGTATGGGCTGTCTGGCCTAAGGAGTTTTTCTTTTATCATAAATAATATATATATATATATGTATGAGCTATTAATCCCTTAGCGAAGAACTAGAGCCAAAAATATACACGTTTTCCTATTTCTTGGCAAAAAAATATTATTTATATGGACGTATATTCTTCACATATACCTGCATTGCGCCAAATTGATTTCTCTGCGTATATGTACCCCTTTAAACTTAGACTGCGGCTAAAACAAATGTAATGATGCTTTTATCCGAAGCCTACACGCTGCAGTGCTCCGTTGTACGATTTCTAACGAAGGATTTAACGTCGGAAGCCCTTCCACCGATGGTATAAGCCTTGAGCATGTATAAGGTTTCGGTACGCATCAATATAAGTTATCGTATGTAAACAAAACTTGGTAATCCTCCCCTGGAACACAAATTAATGAAGGTCAACACTTGTTAATAATATTGAAAAGGCGCATATCCGATAAGAGAAATCCTCGTCTAAGATAAGTAACCACATAACGGACATGAAATATTATCATTATTATTATATCATGTAGTGGATTGCGAAGTTTATATAGGTTCCACCAAGTACCAGAAGGTTTTAGAAGTACTGTAGAATATTATTTATTTCAATAGTTTAATTCTTCTATCTGAAACCGTTAGCGACATCTAAAGCTCTCGTAAAAGCGTAGCTTTACTCAAAACAACAGTACTTAATAATTGTGTTTTCAATAGTCTGCACATAATTTTCATTAAAAATATTATTTTCAATTCCATTACCCATACGTTTATTAATCATCAAGTATTTGCACTGTTAAATTAGTCTCAAAGACTTTCTTTGATATGTTCCGAAATAATGGATTTTTGTATTAATCTCACCATTTTGCGGCGTGTTATTTTTCCAAAGAAAATTTAATTTATTAATAATATTAAACAATAAAATATAATAAAATCATAGGGTTATCTTGACTACAGTAGTATCTAACATATTGGATTGAGTACAGACAAAAATATTTTAAAATAGTCGTAGTTTTTATTACTACACTAAATTGTCCAACGTCACTGCAATAAAATATCGATTCCATCTAATTTAGAACAATTTTATTGACAGCGACGTTTTACTGTCAAAATATTTCACTTAGTTATGAATAAAAATGTCACATTTGTAGTTTAGGTAAAAATACACATAGTATTAAATGTCTATGTTTAGCATTGTAGTCTTCGGTCGGATTTTTCTATCAAAATAGTTTTTTTTTTTTAATATTCGGCACCAGTAAAGTTCATCATAGTATTGAATCCAGATATACATCAAGATTGCTGGAGCCTCCTGACGAAAACAGGGTGATAATGGTAATATAGCCGTTTTCGAAAATGAACGCCATGTTTTATTTAATATTTATTGAAGAACCATTTTTTTTTTTTTTTTGCTCGTTAACTTGTTTTTTTTCTAGTCATTTTCATAAAATGACTTCAGGTTATGGCAAAATAATTTTTAAAATTCATGCCAATGCTTAGAGCCACTATAAAAAAATTCTAGACTCAATGCTGGTTCTTCAGAACCGTAATTTAAACATTTAAGACTCGAGTACAACTGCAAACGTTCATTTATTAAGATAACGCAAGGATACCTGTAATTTTTTAATGGGTTTTCCAGTCCAGTACTTTTAAATTAAATTTTTCATTGCTTTTTTGTTGTTCTCTTTGTTTTTACGTCATCGTGAGGTAAATAAATAAAATCCCTATCGCACTTAATCTGCTAAACGTGTCATTTTTTACTTAAACGGTTACGTTTTAATTGGATCCATAGCTGTTTTTACATTACAACCATTTGGTGTTTCGGGAATTACGTGTATGTATATTATTATATGCTTTAAGGTTTCTGATATAAAAAATAAAATTAAAACAATTATAAACATCGTTCTAATTAACAAAATCCGCTCGGGACTGGTGTTACATTAACCCCAATTCTTCAGTTTGAACTCTACACACTTTTTTTTTGCTATCCAATGGCCTTTTGGCTCGTAATTTAAACATTTTCTGAAACTTTAAGCTATTTATTTATTAAATTTTCAATGTTAAATTTTACATGTCAACATCATTGGAGTAAAAAATTTGGTTTTCTCTCATGAAAAAAACAAATAAATTTAACACTTTTTTTTTTTAAATCTAATTAAAACGTACAAGTAAAGGTCGCATTGTCGTATGAACTTAATACATAATAACATAAATATCCCAACTCTACACACAAACACAATGGAAAATATAATACCAAGCCTTGGATCGGTATTTTTTAATGCACATCCGTTTCACTGATTTAAACGCAATACACCTGAGTTCTCCTCCGATATTTTACTATATTATTGATGTAGCCTAAAAAGTTAATTTTCCAAATTCTGCTTTATTTATCTACAAACGTTTATTTAATGAAACGGCACGGCGTGTATTGTCTGTCATAGTTGGCTGAATTGTATTGCGCTGGCAAAACAAATGAAAAAGCAATAAGGATTGTGCCTACTTTTTTCATTTTATATTAGTTTCTATTTTTTTAATTCTGTGCGCCTTCGCCTATCAGTCTATCGGCCGTCTACAACGTATTGAACACTGGCAGGTTGTATTCAAAGTTACAAATCGTATCGCTGTTATTAGCAGAAGTCGTCGTAAACACTTATTGCATAGCAGCCAAAATACCAGCAGAGTGTAAAATAACGATTACCACCACTGTCACTCTGCCCAATTCTCGTGCGTGTTTTCCGCCGTAATCGCCTTTAGAGTAACTGAAAATGGCCGAGTTCCACTAGAGCCAAATCAAAGTGGTGGCGACGAGAGTTTCGTACCTCAGCTACACACAAAGTACACGTTATTATTATTTTACTGTTGGTTATTTCCCAGTGCTTGTAGCTCTTTTTTTTCTTAAAAAAAATACTACCCCTTACTCACAATACGTGAAATAATTCGTGCCTGACTCGATGCGTTACGACCGTGCCCGTTTATGTTCAACGATAATACTTGACATAATTACAGTAAATTCCGTTGCCAGCCATTGTACTGTGCTGACGTTTTGTGATTGCTCTAAGAATGGCGTTTCTTTTATCGATAAAACCGTTGGAGTGTGTTCTGAAATCATGCAAACTTCTGCGTACACAAGAATTAAAATTATTGGTATACAAAAGCGCCTCGTCATGAAATCATTTTTTTGTCTACTTTATTGAACTCGAATCGGGTTACCGTCGGTTTTTGTCGATATTGTAGTGGCAAAGTCATTATAACTTGACATGCATTAGAGTTAATGTATTTTCTTTTAATACTCGCAGCTTTGTCCTTTGACCGAAACACGCTGACGTCGTTTCTTGCCTAGTCGTTACAAACGACGTGCGTGGAGAGTGTTTGAGGACTAGAAGTTTTAACGTGACGCCGAGGGACCTGGTACGGCCAAGAGATAAGAGCATTTGAAGTTTTGTTTGCCAATCTTTGTCGTGCCGTAAGTTGCGTGAGCCAACGGCAGATAATGAAATAAATTACTACTTAGGTAAAAGGGAGCACAGGTCGAAAAACCGAACATCAACCGCTACTGAAAAACAATCACCGGTAGTTGTTTTCTCTGCATTACCCCAATTACATTATGGGCGGTTAAAATCGGGAGGATTACTTCAATTTTATTAATTCGAATTAAAATCTTCAGCAGACCACAACGAATTGCCGATTCTTTTCGTGGTTTCAATGAAACTTATTACGTTCAAGTGGTGACATTTGATTTGACCTATTTTTAGTGTGGGTAAAAATCGGAAAAGGATATTTTTATATTTCGGCCAGCGATAGCACAGCATTCGTTGACTACCAATGGAATTACTCTTTTAAATTCGCCGCCTGAAAAAGGATGCGCTACCTAGCACTGATAATGAAATCATCACAACGGTCATCGATGTTTGGTCTACACAACTATAAATCTACGATCGGGTCTCGTTTGCGGTGGGATTATCATTTATCTGGCATTCTGCGACCTGTAAAGTGCGTCTCTCTTTTCTTTATTATATTTTCGTTGAAAGTAAGTTCGTATAATTGAATACAAATAGTCGGTCCTTGTACGTAAATCAGCTGTACAAAGTTGTGACAGTTACAGATTGTGATTTTTTTTTTAATTTCTGACAAAAGAGTTCTATTATCTATTAAAATTCGGTGAAGCAACATTCAAATGTGTCGATAATTCCATTAACATGGAAAACGGCGAAAATTTCGATTCTAATAATTTTAAAAGAAAACTTAAAACAAACAATTCGATTTTTGATCATTCCGTCGATTTGCTAATGAACGCATTTGAATTAATACCGTGTAAAAAGAAGATTACTTGGGCATCCACAACAAATTACAAGTAATTATCATAATAATTTTCATATGAAACACAAACACATGTTATAACATAAAACAACTGCGTTGGCAAGTGTATGTGTAATACAAATTGTTAGAAATGTATTTTTTGCTATATTTACGCTAGTAGAGGTTATCTATTAAGCGTGTTGAATACTTACCGACAAATATCTTGCAAACTTCTCGGTACGTCAAACTTTTTTCTATAACCGTGTGCAAGTTCAATTTTTATATTAAAAAAACTTAACCGCTATAGAACAATAATATTCTCTACGGCGGTCGTTAATTTTATTCTTATCAGCCTTGTTTTTTTTCTATTCTGGTAGTAATTTTGTTTTGTCTTCGCTTTTGGCCTGGAGACTTGTGATAAAAAGAGTTTTTTGTCCGATGAAAATTGTCACTTAGAATTATAGTACAAAAGGAATGAACTATTTATACAGATGCTTTTTATTACACGTCGATACCTACTTATTGATGAACCTTAAGGGCGTCTATAATAAATCCACTTGTACACGACCTGCTATGTACGTTATTATTGAGTTTTAAGGCGGCATCGTGTGTCGTATAACAAACCAATATACACGTATATACAGATCGGATCGTTGATGATAATAATTCTATGTAGTCAAACTACAGAGGACCGTTGTCTGAAGAAGTTTGTCAGCGACTTTTTCAATAGGCTTGTTATTTGCTCCCACGTCCGTCTTCTACAATACCTGTGTTCGGAGTAAAGGTGAAGGTTTCTGAAGGGTTTTTTGTTCAGCACTTTTCTGTAAGCTTATAAATCATTTTATGCTATATAATAACTAAAAAAAAAAACTTAAACCCGATACACTCAGGACCCGGCAAGTAATAAGAAAATCAATTTTTTTTTACAATAAAGTTCTGTTGACGTCATACTATAGAAAATAATCATTTTTACTAATAAAATGACATATTTTTCTACAATTTTTTTCTCGAATTACAACTTTTATATTTTATGTAGAATTCACCTCAATAAAATTTTACAAGAATTCATTAGTTTTTTCTAGGAAAAATTAACTTTAATAAACTCCAATTTTTTATAACGAGTAAACACGATTTTTATATGAGTGAGTATAGTGCAATGTTTTTTTTTTTATACCTCCGGGTATATATTTTTGGTACGAAGAACACGTAATTCCTGAAGCTTATTAAACGGGTCATGTCGTACCAAAGTGTTACTTTTTTTTTTAATTTTCCTTGAAAAATAATTTAAAATGTTAAAATTGTTTAATGAAGATAACATTGATGCATTAACAAAGCAAAATTTGTATTGAAAATCCGTAAATATATTTAACTTAATCACTGCGTAGAAAAAAAAATAAAAATTTAAAGAATGTGATTAAAAGAGTTGGCCGATAGATTGCAATAAATTTGATTTGGAGGATTTTGTTGTTCCTGTGAGATCGTCGGGCAGTCTCGTATTGATTGATACAATTGGTCAATTTCCTGTGTCGTTCTGCTGGAAGTTAGTCTTTCGCACGTGATTTTCAGGTGTTTCCTGCAGTCGCATCTCTCGTCCTTTTTTCAAACTGCCAAGACAGTCTACTAAGATATTTTTTTTTATTTATCCCTTGAGAAAATGGTCACACACCATTGCCTATGTCTCGATAAAAATATTATGTTCTCTGGAAGTTCCAAGGGCGTTGTAGCGTAACTGTACTCATATCAAACGACTTTTGACAGTTTTCTAATGTTAAAAATAAATAATTCATAAAGAAAAATTGTTTCCGACGAAATTAAGTATAAGGCGGCCAAGTTTTTTCTGACGTCTAGAGGTTAAAAGACGGCGGTCTTATTCAATATTTACCTTGATGTAATGATCATATTACTCCTTTTTAATAATTTGCTTGAATTTTACAACTCTGAGAGTATAAGACAAAACATATAAATGTTTTATTTTTATTAAACAATTTCATTTTGGAACAACCGCTGCTTTACACGCGTTACCGTTTAGCTAACTAGTGTTTTTTAATAGATTCGTCAATCTGTGTATGTCAAATAGTACTTGGCAGGTTAAAAAAAACTCGAAGACAAATTTAAAAAGTCATAACAATTGCCAAACGTGCTGTTTGTTCTTTCCACAATAAACACGGGATATAATAAAACTCAACCGCGACCTTTTTACAATATTTCATCGTTGGCCGTTATTGTTTTATATCAGTGTAAGCGGCCGCAGACTCGATTATAACTATACACATACGCGCACGAATGAAGATAAAAACATTGCTGGTGAAGACACATAATACCTACTAATTTAATTGCTATTTTTATTATTATACTCTGCTTGCATTCATATTGTAATATCTAGTTTGAATTCACATTTTGTGAATTTCATTTTTGTTTTTGTAATATATAAACCCTAATAAATAATTTATTTTTGTTTTCTTTGGAAGTCGACCAAAATATAACAAAACAAACAAAAACGTTGGAAAATTCATTAGCATATGGGTCGTTAGAAAATGACATTAACAAAATCAATATATAACATGGTGTTAACGCTCTCTAATAACAAAGCCCAGATATTTAGTCGAAGGTAAAAGCCGCCTGGAATTATAAGTATTTAAAAGAAAAATGTTTGAACTCGGTTCATTATATTTTCGTCTTATCGAAAATTGTTTGAAGCTAAGTTTCCATGTTTGTTTTTGACTAATACACGCATATTAATTATAAATTAATAATATGTTCAAAACACAAAAGCTATTACTACTTTGCATTAAACGTGTCTTAGTTTAATGATCAAAGATGTCTGTTAACGCGATTGTGGTCTGAAAAGAAATCGATACGATTAGTTTGTATTATTTATTGTAACTGTTGGCTTATTTTTCTTTTATCTACTATAGAATATATTTTTTATTGAATAATTTGTTTTATCTGTAAATAAAAGTACAAAACATACATTAGGTGTACGATTACAATGATTTAAGAGTAAACACGTACGGGACAGTTCTAACATTTTTAAAATTATATTTTGATTAATTTTTAAGAACTGCCTTTAACTAGGTGTTATTGTATCGAGCAAGTAATTTATTAGATAAAAAAATAATACTTATGCCAATTTCGTGTCAGAATTAAAAAACATTATTTTAAACCATTACAAGAACTTCATATTTCACGAATGTCATGCGATAACAAAACATTTTTGTCAACGTATTCAATCACTTGTTTTATTCGTTAAAACAATACATATATATATATATTTATGTAATTTATGAATATTAAGTACTCTATAGAATATATTGGTACGTAATCTCTATTACCTACTTAAATTTAGAGCATTCGTTTTGCTATTCATTTCAAATAAATCTTTATTTACCCATTAAAATTAACTTGCATTATTAATTTACTGAATTCGTTAAATATTCAAACATCAATTTATATAAATAAATCATGTACGCCTTAATGTTTAGAACAATGCTAAGTTAGTTGGTATTACATAAGCGTGTGCTACAATAATTAATTATGCAACGATTAATTACTGCTTGTACTTTTCTCAAATACCGCAGCATAGAATTTGGTAGTCAAGATTAATTTAAGTTTTACAATTTTAATGAGACATAAAATTCACATAGATGTGATGTCCAGGCTGTTTGATAATTTATAAATAAAGACTGGCGTCACTTGTAGTTATAAATACGGTAAACATAAACAGTAATTTTCACATGATCAAATAGAAGAGGTAGTTTAATAAAGATCTTATGTAGTTTATATTTTTGATCTTGATCGTTATTTTAGAATACATAACAAAAAAAACTTTGTTCTATTTCATCTTTTGCATGAAGTTAATATTCTAATAACATCTGAAAACATAATTTACTGAATTTGACAGTGATACTCTTAAACACATTCATACTTAACACTTGCATATATTTTACATTGTTTTTTTATAGATTTCTATACAAATTAATCTTTAGCTACTACTAAGTAATGAACGCGTTATTTATATTTCAATTTATTTAAGTCATTCAATTTATTATATTAAATTATAACACTTGAATAATTTTAAATGAAATCGTGGATTTATTAAATACTTTCTATTATTGGACTGTCTGGAAAATTGTTTTTTTTTATCATTTTTTCATGATAATTTATGGAATAAAACAAAAATTTGATCGAAATATAATTATTAAAGCTTTAAAGCTATTTTATTATGTTTCAAATTTTTTAAAAATAGTTTTTTTTTTAATTTTATTTAATTTTTCACTAATTAATACATGACTTAAAATAATGTCGGTGTTAAATATTCAACAAAATTTAAGTTTTTCATAAAACGTAAACAATATTTAATGGAAAATATTTTTCAAATTCTTATATTTGTTTTAACAAAAAGGGGAAGTATCCAGTAAATTTTCCCATTTTTGAACTAGAGATTTTCTCATAACTTTTGTCATTTTATGAATAGTCCATATATCGTTTACAAACGACAGCTCTGAAAATGTCCCGCAACAGCAGTACGATTCATAAATGTGACATTACTGCTGTGACAGGACAATATCGGAGTGTTGTTCTCTTTTATATGTATATTGTTAATCCATGAGTACCGTATGTTATATACATAACACAAGTGAAGTAGTTTGATTTAGATTACTTTCTTCTAAAAAATAAAAATTTTAAGTGTTAATTAGTGTTTTTATACTATCGAGTTTTAATAAAATGTGTTACTTACCAAGTTATCACTTGTTTTGGTTGAATTTGATCATTAGTGTTTATGTAGTGATTCTTTGGTGAACATTCCAAGTTCGCTATTTGGAACGACTATAGAGTCTGTAAAAAAAATAATGAAATAATTCAAAAAGTTTTAATTTTAATAACAAAAAAGCTTTACTAATAATTTATGTGTAAATTTTTTTTTAGTTTGGGAGTGGATCAAATGGCTACACTAGCTGAGCACGCGGCTGATTTCAGCGGCATGCTTGCTGCTGGTGGCATAGGCTTGCCGCAGCCTATGGCCGCAATGGCCGCTACACCAATGCCATTAGCGCTTCACCCTCATCATCAAACGGTTCGAGTTCCACCGGCAGGATTAGTGAAAATCGCTCAACCACAACCGGCCACCGCCGTCACAGTCAAGGGCAGTTCTCCGTTGCAAAACGGAACCAACGGGTCTCAAGAAAATGCGGCGGTAGTAGCTGCAGCTGTAGCAGCAGTGGCTGCATCTCAACAACAACAAGCCCAGATGAATAACATGAACGGCGGACTCAAACAAAACGGTATGGACTCTTCGTCAGCTCAATCACCAAGCGGTAGATCCACGCCGAACAGTAGCACCGAAGGTACTTCAGCTAAACTGTTTGTCGGTGGACTCAGCTGGCAGACATCGGCCGATAAACTCAAACAATACTTTGGTATGTTTGGTGACGTTACAAACGTACTGATAATGAAAGACCCCATAACTCAGGTAAAATCAACACTTGGCACGTTAGTAAATTTTTCTAATTATATATTGTTTTCATTTTCAGCGGAGTCGCGGTTTTGGATTTATCACATTTTCTGACGCCGAGACTGTTGAAAAAGTCTTGGCTGTGCCCATACACACGTTAGACGGTAAAAAGATTGACCCGAAGCATGCGACCCCCAAGAATCGCCCTAAGGCTGGAAGCAAGACAAAAAAGATCTTTGTAGGAGGTGTTAGTCAGGATACCACTGCCGAAGAAGTCAAAGCGTATTTCAGTCAATTCGGGAAAGTTGAAGAGACGGTGATGCTGATGGACCAGCACACCAAGAGACACAGAGGTTTTGGGTTTGTGACGTTTGAAAATGATGATATAGTTGATACCATATGTGAGATCCACTTCCACACTATTAAGAACAAAAAAGTGGAATGCAAAAAGGCTCAGCCCAAAGAACTAGTGCAGCCTGCAGCAGCCGCTGCAGCTGGTTTGTTATTAGGCAAACGTCCCGTACTAGTCGGCGGTCCTTTGGGAGTTCGTGTTGCCGCTGCACCCGTGTCGCAAGCTACACATCAGTTGGCTGCCGTACAACAAGCCCAGGCGCAAGCTCAGGCTCAGGCTCAAGCTGCAGCGGCCGCAGTGGCTGCTCACAATTACAATAAATTGTTCGCAACGTACCCAGGACTAGCTAGCTACCGTTATTCTCCATATCCAGTGCCGGTCACCGCAGCGGCGGCTCCTCAAGCGGCCGCAGCCGCTGCTCAACCCGTGCAAGCCGCAGCAGCAGCTGCAGCCACGCAAGCGGCCTATCCAGCGTACAGTCTATCTGGCATCGACATGAGTGGCTTCCAAGGTATCGACTGGTCATCCATGTACGGTATGGGTGGCATGTACGTTTAGGCTTGTCCCGTTCATCATCCTAGCGTTGGTGGCCTGGTCAATATTTATAGGCGATCAAACGAAAATCATTCTCTTTGCTCAGACACATTCTATCGTTGAAATTATTTTTTTTAATTCGAAAAAAAAATATCTACTTAAACATCCGAAAAAAAAATCATTTCAATTTTATTATCATATAAAATACTATAATTATTACACTTAATATTGTTTATTTTTTCACAAATCGACAAGGCTGACAGCCACAGATCCCTTGAAGATCATTCGCGCATGTGCCATACCACTGCCTCATTGTCGTGAGTTATATTTTCATTGGATTTTTAAAAAAAACGAACGATTTCTAGTCAGTTGTATTATTATAATTATTTATAATAATATAATTAATTAACGTGTTTTATTATTTTTTAATTACTATTAACTATTAATTTTAAATATTTTCGATTTTCTGAATAGTAGTGTAATTAGTGTCTAATTAACGTGTTATTGTATTAGTTTTGATGTACTGTTAAAAATAATAAACAAATTCCAATACGATCAGTAGATAAGATACATTCCATTAAGGACCAAAATCTCACCAACGTTCTTCATGACAATTAATTTTTTTATTTCTTCTTATAACATCTAGCCGATTGTTTTTTCATAATTCATTCAATATTTCTTCTCCGAATTTCTGTATAAGATATACATAATATTGTAATATCGTCTACTTTTCTTCTTATCCAAAATAACTTTTAATCAAATTCTTGTAATATCTCATTTTCTTTAGTAGTAGCGCGCCACGTAGGGCGGGAGTACTGTTAAAAATAAATACTTAATTGCAAATTTCATTCAACGTGTGTATATCTTTTGATTTTTATTATTTGTTTATAGTCGAATTTCAAACTGTAGACGAAAGAGTCGTTCAATATTTACCTTAGCTGTCCGTCTTAGATCGTTTCATTTTTTATTTTATTTTATTTTCATCAATGCCAATGTTGCAAAAATAATTTTAAATAATTATCTCACACAGTTCCGTAAATAATCGGATGTATAATTCTAGTTAGACACTAAAAAAGTGCTCCAAATAAATTCAAACAAAAAAGTATTTTAAAGTTATTAAAATATAAATCACATTTTACTTTTGCATTATATAGTTCTTAGTTTTTAGAATTTATGTAAAACAAGTAAAAGTTACGAAAAAAGCACTGAATCGACTGGACAATACTAATTAGAAACATTATTATATTATGTATGTAAAGCAATAATACTTAAATGGTTATTGATCTCTTTGTTTACTATTATTATTATTATTATTATTATATATTTTTTTTTAACATTAACTTTCTTAGTCTAGTTATGATAGTTGGTAAGCCCTCTATTTTTGTAATATTTGAGAGTTAATAAAACAACAAAAGCAATTATATGTAATGTATTAACTTACACTTGTAAACACATAATTACTATACAAAAGAGGGTTAGTGATGCTTTTACTTAATCTGACAACTTCATGTTGTACATCGTAGATTTATACTTAAACTTTTTGGTTTTTTTTTTTTTTTTTTAGTATTTAAAAATACAACTACCCGTACTAAGTGTATATTTTTAATGTCAATGTCATATATTAGACTTGGTGTGTATTTTAACAGTATTTTTAGTTTTAGATGTATCTTTTTTGTAGAGTAATATTAACTACTATTTATCATGAAAAATAATAGCTTTAAGAAGTATTTAATTGTACACTTATAAATTTTTTTTTATTATTATTTATTGGTTTATTTAGTTACTGTGTAGATGTTCTCTACTATTTGTGAATGTAGTAATACGTATATACTATAATAAGAAAAGTCAATAATTAACAAAGTAGTGTTAGATACCTACGTCATAAATCCTTCATTTCAATTTATTATTTACAAATATTAATTTTTTTTTTATAATTATTTAGTTCTTTACGCACTTTAGTAGATAAATGTTAAAATTAAAAACGCTGTGTTGTTTAATATTATAAGAGAAAAACAAAAATAAAAGTAGTTATTTGTCTGTAGTATACCAGTCAGTCAGCTTTTAAGTATATACTTTGTCCTAAAATATACAACAATGTCAAATTACCTAATACCTAATAATTTGTAAATTTTCATCATTGTTGCCTCTTTTACACTTCAAATTAACCGTGATATGTATTTCATTCTTATTTAACCATATATGTGGCACATGACTGATTTTTGCATGTTTTTTATGCCATGGATTACATTAAATTGTATTTAGAGACTTATTGATCAGCTTCTGCTGGTGTTTTATGACTGATCTTATTACTGAGTATGTTATTTAGCTCATAGCAGTAATAGAACTATTTAGTCTCTTTATTGAAATAATCATTATCCGGTGTACTATCATTATACGTATACTAAACGGCAATATTACAGTAGAATATTTAAATAGTATTTTACAATAACCATCAGTTTATTTATATTTAATTAACCCTTAACCGTTTTTAATATTGCTATTATTTGAAGTAGTTTTATTATTTATTTATTAGTACTAACCAAATTCACAGTCAGCCTAGCTTAGATGTCATTAACAGATAACACTAAAATAGTTGAAACCTAGTTAATCTATAGTGCATCAATAACATACAATATCTTTATTCAAGTTTAAAATGAATTAAATGAAAACAATCTTTTTTACTCCACTTAAAGACAACGTTTAATTTAGTTTTTATTTATTAAATTGCCTTATTAGACAACATGATATTTGCTAATAAATATTACAAATAAATTGATACAGATTCTAAATATCATAAATAAATTATTATAGATGATTTACTCACTCTGGCAATGACAATGCTGTTAATGGTAACTGTAGTAGTAAACTAATATGGGTAATATTATAAGGCTAAAATTTTGTGAATAATACAACAGTAGTATTACTGCTCAATTCTATGATGGACTTCTTTGTCTGGTGGTGTATATATGGTTTATTTCGTCTGCAATCAATGTTGTCTATACCTGTAGAAAAAATAGTTTATTATTAACAATTTTAATAAAAAAAACGCTTCAGATCTGTTATTTTCGTTAAAAAATTAATTTATTGATGTTGTGATATCATTGGTGGAACTCAGTGAAAATTACATGGGATATTAACCGGATTTACCCTATAGGTAAGTAATGTGGAAAATTTTATTGTTTCTTTATTCTCCATACCCCACCGACCGGCTCTTTATATTCATATTATTTGAATTATTAATTTGTTGTATTAAATATTTGATTGTTCAACAGGTGACCTATTCTTAGAAGTACAACTAAACGAGTGACATGAGCCTCTTAGAGTATGAATTGATCGTGTAGTTAAAAGCAAAATGAATTGGGATTTTAGCACGAAGCTCAATAATTGATCATATACATAATAAAAAAAGTTGTGTAGTTACTGCTCATATTGCATGTAAATGTTAAAGTAGTAGAATTAAGTAGAATTTTTTTAATTAACGCTAAAATGTCCATTGTATTTATTTAATATGTATTTAGTCTAACACGGATCTTAGTTTTTTATTAAATATTGACAGTATTGTTATTTGACGTTTATTGACATGATAAATCAATTATATATGCTCTTCCTCTATTTATAAATCGTGTTTTAGAAAATATATTTGAGTAATAGTTTTATTAAAAAAAAAAAAAATTATTTCTAAAAATGTTTAAATGTTCTATTTGTTATAAATCAATTATTGCTCAAACAAATTAGTGTAATACTTTTTTAGTCGTATTTTATCTTAGAGAAAAAAATCACTACTTTAGTGTAAAAAAATCTTATACGATTAGATCAATTACTACCATTATTTAATCTTAAAAAAAAAACTTATATATTGGACTTGAGTAATATTAATCTATTAGAGATTTTGTACTGTCATTAATAATATGGTAATAATATTATAGTGATAAATAGGAATAATTAGGAGATTTTTTATTTAATTTAGTGAGTTAAATATTTTGTATTTAAATATCGTACACGGGAATAATACGAATTGTAAAATATTGACGTATATATAGATGTATACATAAATTTGTTTTATTAATTTATTATCATTATTATTATTATTATTGTCTTAAATATTGTAAAATTTGTGATATTGTAATCTTGTACTAGTCGTTTTTTTAATCTAGTCTTATTTAAAATCAGTATACAAACATATTATGTATTATATTTTATTAATTATTTTAAAATTTTAGTATTCTAAAATCGAAATATGTAAATTCATATACATGGTTTTATGTATATGTATTATACATATTTTATGACAAATTAAGTAATATAATATTTGTTGTTTTTTAATAAGTCTTCCTTTGTAATTAATCAATATCAAATCCATATGAAAAATTTTAGAGAGAGAGTATACGAGTAGAACCTTAACTATGACTGTTTTATATTTATATTTCTTATTATGATTGTATTTGTAATCAATATGTTATTTTTATATACATACGTGTAATGATATATTATTATTATTACTATTATTTATTGTAAGAAGTTCTGTACATTTTGTAAAACATTTTCTTATGGGTCTAGAGACTTTTTTTATAGCTACACAATTATATAGACCAAGTATTTACAGCAGGTTTCTATAGAGCTTAGGTGTAGTAGAAAAGATAGAATTTGTATATTTTAATACAAATATTATTATAAATTATTACTATTTGTTTTGTTCTATTAGTTTGATGAAAGTTACTTTGAATTTGCTCCATAAACATTTTTAACATAACATTAACATTGTGTTTTCTTTATAATGATGTCCAAATGTGCTATCAATGTCTTATACATATAACTTGTCCTATCTTTGATACTTTTAGATCTTATTAACTGCATACTAATCAAACATAATTGAATCTCACGAAGCATTCAAATGAATTGTACTAAATGTGTGTTAGTCGAATACTTATTTGATGAAAACCCAATTTTCAATTGAAGTTACAGTTAATATGTTTTAACTGTAATTATATTGGTATTAATAATTGTATCAATGAGTAGTTTCTTTTAAATGTAGTCTGGTAAATTTTTTTACAAACTTTAGTAAATGTTTAAAACTATTTTAGTCAAAATTTCTTCAGTGGTACTAACTAATTAGTAATAGTTTTTAGCTTGTATTGAAAAAACTGGTATAGTTTAGTTGTATAAAAACATTAGAACTTCCATAAAGTACTATTTTTCATGATGAATTTTGTTATCAATATTTAAATGATTTATTTTCTTACAGATCCATCGAAAGTCACAAAATCGAAGAATAATTTTTAGCACTAATATATACACAATTATTATTGTATATATAATTTGCTTTAAATAAATAAATTGACTGTTTTTTTATGCCTACAATTAATTATGAAACCAAAATTATAGAATAATTTAAATAAAAAAAATTTTATATTCAGAAAAATCTTGTTCATTGGTGCATCTAGAATCAATTTTTTGGAGATACTAAATAAATTTATTTATTTATTATTTTATAGTAAATTAATTTTTCTCTCATACTAAATATTTTTTTACATATTAATATAAATTAAATTTCAAACGTTTAGGGGACTAATTCTTTGTTTGAGAGAGGTACGTCCTAGTTGCGCCATGACCATAATACACACATTCATATAAACATACCTAACAAAATAATTATTTTTATATCTTTTGAGACAATTTTAGTTTCTCTGTAATTTATATAATATTTTTTTCAAAAAAATCGTCTTTTTATGGTTCTATAACAACCTTAGAATAAGTACTAATTGAATTACAAGCATTTTAATATACAGAATGTTCAGTAAATAAGGAAACAAGTCAATTATTACAATCAATGAGAACAATAGAAACCCATTTCCTTACTTACTGGACACTCTGTATAGAGTGGTTAAGTGGTACGGATGGACTGTGTGTTATAAATATACACTAGTCATAAGACTTATCAGATTTGTTCCATCTGTATATAGAAATATAATTTATTTTCAATATCCATCAACTAATTAACTAAATTGTCTTTGCGTTTGTTTTGCCGAATCAAATAAACTGCTGTGCATATCAAATACATGTAAAGTCTTAGGTTATCTATTTTGTTATATTATTTTAGCGATTTCTTATTGCACTTATCTAAAGATTAAACTAACGTTAATAGTCGTAAATCGTCTGGCATTATATTATTTCACCTTCAATTAAAAACTATTCAACTCCCCACTCTACTTTACAACAACGATTTTTCTAACAAAAATGCTCGAATAGTTTTTATATAAATGATCAAATTACAAAACTTAAAACTAGTCTAACAACATAGTTGACATGGACTTTTAGATGAGTTTTAAAACAACGATAATAATTTGTTACGTACAAGTTTTTATAATCAAAAGTTTTAGAAAATCTCATTTTAATTAATCTGTTACAAGTATAAATTACGTGAAATTAATGAAATTTTTTTTTTAATCATTATGGTATATATTAAATTGATATTAAATTAAGATTATATTGTAATTCGTATACATTTTATAAGCACATGACATATTTCATCGATTATAATTTTAACAGCGTCAATAAAAGTTTGGAGATAAAAAAATTACAGAATATCATAACGCTAAATATTTAAATTTCATTGAAATTTGAACTGCTCCTGTATAAAATTCATACTGTAAGAGTTTGATGGTACTATGTAAAAGTAAATAAATTATAATATACAATTTAATATAAATAATAACATCATTATATAGTCTTTCAATCTACTGAACTTCACCATAAGTGCATTACACCGTAATAAGGCTTATATCCTCATGTAAACTATTACTATTAAAATCTGTTTTTATTAAAAAATATTTCAACGAGGTCGGAATAATGTGCATTAACGACTTCCGACAAAAAGGAAATGTGCGTTACCCTATTAAGGGTCTAATAAATTATAATTCAGACAAAATTACTCATACCTTTTAATCCCTGTTAAAATATCAAATACCTGTTGTGAAATGCTACAGTAGAAAGTTTTCTAATGTTACTAAAAATTTTAAATACTAACTAATAAAAAATATAAAATCATTTCGTACATTACATATATTCTCAATAACTTTTGACAGACAAAGTAGGTTCTTATATACACAATCGTGAAATGTCTATCTTTACTAACATAAATATATTATATAATGTTATCAGTATATTTTCTTCAACAACATTTATTAGTTAAAATCATTTTTAGTTTTATTATTTCTATTTTTAATCACCTAAGATCACTAAATTTCCGATATATTTAACTATTTTTATATGAAATGACTCACGACTTACTAGTATTGGTGTATGTAAATATTCGTCATAATCGTATGACAAATAAAAATAATTTATTTTCAGAAAAACTAAAAAATGTTTATATGTACAAACAGAATTTGTTTTTATACTTAAAGCTATCTATACAAATATGAAATATCTTATGTACGGCCAGACAATACTTAGAGTAAAAAATCAGCAGAACTTTTTTGCAAAAACATTTGCTCTATTCTTTACGATTGGGACAATGGATTTATAATTCGGTTTAAAATGTACAACTATAAATCCATTGTCCCAATAGAAAGTAACAGATCCGACTTTGTTCGTTTTCAGTTCGACAGAAACAAATAATTGTATTAATAGTTGTATTAACTAAAAAAATAGTTAATTCAATAGAAAAATATAAAATCTATGTTTTTATAACCAAAACTATAAATAAAATAGTAAATACAAATCAATACTATCTCAGTAGTTTTGAGTTTTATTCATTAATTACGACATTAAATTATTTAATTAATTGAATTAAAATAAAATTCTGTAGTCCTTGAAAATTTAAATGACAAATATCTTATTTCTTAATCTAAATTCACATAAAAAAACATAAAAAAATTCTATTTAAAAACAATAATTTAAAATAAAGTTGCTTAAAAACTAATTTATATAAATCACAATTTAAAAATAAAATACAAGCACTCACGTTAAATGTTTTTAGAGTACGTATATAAGTACTTTTGAGGAAAAGTATTCAAGTTCAAATACTTATTTAAAAATAAAAATTTTTTTAAAGTAAATATCATGACATAAATTAAGCCTATATATAAAGGTATGGGTTCTTCTTAAATTAAAAATTCTTATGCAAATTTTATATAAAACATATAATATGTGAACAAACATTTTTTTATCAGGCCCTTTAATTTGTAAAATATTTATAACTAAATTTTTTCAAAAACTATTATGGATTTTTATACGTACAGTTTTCTCAGTTTAGATCTCAACAGCTAATTCGATGTTTATCTTAATAAATACAAATTTATAAGAGTAATAATGTTACTTTTTTAAAATAAAATTTAACAACTATTATAAATAAAAAAGTATAATAACAAGATATTTATTTATTTGTCAAATAAAAAAACTAGAAACATAACTTCTAAAAGTTATCATTATTCATTTTACCTCAACGTTTAGTAAAATAGCATTTCTAACACTAAAAACTCTCTACATGAGCACTACTTGGTAAAGATATTATTGATATTGACAATTTCAAACAATACACTATACAATTATTGACAATGGCAATATTTTTTATTTTTGTAATGACTAGATATTTTTTGCTCTTGTTAATAATCGAAAAGAACAAAAAATAAATACAAGCAAAATCAAAAATTATTTAAAATACTAAAAAAGTATTCAAATACTGGAATACTTAAACAGTCATGTTTTTTCTTGTGTATACAGAGAAACAGTATTAAAACATCAATGGTACACTACCATTTTATTTACAATGAAAATCTATTTGCAATCATTTTATTAATACAATTCAACTATGATCTCCAAATAAATGAACACAATATTTTTTTCATTATATATATTTTAATTTGTATTATATTGTCATTGATAGTACCCAGACTTTTAAACATTTTGAATGTGTAACGTTATATACATAGAAATGGACTTTTGTCCCGATGCGCGACGATAAAATTTTAATAAAAATCGATTATTTTATTTAAATCAAAATTATTTACTTGATTTTAATTCATTAACTGCATAACATTAAAAATAAAAACTAGTAATACGTTTCGATATTTTTAGGGTTATCTGAAGCTTTAGATAGCCGTGATTGTCAATTCCCAAAGGGATTTATCATTCCTTTTTCATTACCAAATAAATAATTCATTTTAGGATCGAAATGATTAGTAAGCTAAAACTTTTCCATAGAGAATAATAAAACAAGTCAGTAGCGAGCGATTAATCGCGTCTACGAGTTAAAAGGTTTTACTTTTAGAGAGAACAAAAATAATTTACTTGAAAAAAAACTGAACGAAGCAAAATTATTGATCTAAATGCTCCGATTTTTCATTGATATGATACAAAAAAATGCTTTTATGTATGGTTTGAATAATTTTTTATTTTTTTTAAAGATTACATCGAGATTAAAAAGTTCAACGCATTTCGTCCAAAACGGCTAATTATGATTTTTTATCTGAACATTAATCGTAAGATACGATCATAGTCATTAAGTTACTGGATAAACTATGTAAAAATAAACAAATTCGTTCTTGGTAATTTTGTTCAGAACCTGAATTTGTCGAACTAGACATTAACATTTAGTTCTCTGAAGTTTTTTTTTTTGAGAGAGAGAAATTGACTTAATAATTTTGTTTTAGGAACTGAACATATTTTTTAAGTATGTTCTCTTTAAATTTTCTCAAAAGCAAAAACCAAAAATTTTCTCTATTCAAATTAATTGTGAATAGAAAAAAAAATCGAATTTATGTATCTATTAATCTAATACGACAGTTTTACTAAGAACTCGCTGTTTGGGCAACATCATATCAAGTTGATTTGATGTTTAATATGATTGATACTATCAATCATCCAAGTTCAGTACGTCAAATTGTAAATATTATACCTGTATTGAATTACGGTATTTTTATAAATTAGAATTTACGTTTTTTATAGAAACTCGGTTTTCTATATTTCTGAATATATTGCTAAACATTTCAATTATACTTTATGACGCGAATATATCGGATCGGAATTCCCATTAAATAATTGAGTTTGCTAAAACATGTTTATATTGTTCTGATGTATTTTTTTAAACTCTTTGACTATTGTTATTTGACTATAACGACTCGTGATCTATTTAAACTAAAGTTCAGTCATACAGGTTTTTATCCTTAATTACGCTAGTTTTTGCAAGTGATGCGTTAAAATGTTTACAAGTGTCAAGTCGGGGCGGTTGGACACAATTTGTATATTTGTTTTGTTTGCATGTTGTCTCTGAAATCGTCTGGACGAATAATGATACGATTTTCAAGAGATATTCTGAATCAGCTGACCCTTGTAACTGTCGGCCTACTACGTGCGGTGGCATTGACCCGAACAACGCAGTAGACTATGCGTTGTGCGTGCGTGCCATGGCAAGAGGAGTCTAAAGTGAGGGTGAGCAGGGTGGACGGCGCGCAAGCGTCTCTGTCGGTCGTCACGACAACGAACAATCGCCGGCGGTCCCTTTGCTGCAAATGTATCTGCCAATGAACTATGGAGTTAGCAAACTCACGCACTCGACCAGATGTTGATGATAGAGATCACCCTTGTCGCAAACTTTCAGCCCTTACGCTTTACTTTTCTCTAAGTACACTGGTAAAGGGAAGAAAGCAGCTAATGTATACTACTACAATCTCACATCGCTCGTCTGCTACCATCTCATTCAATACAAGTTTTTTAATCATTTTCAATTCACGGGTTCGATAACCCGCCGTCTGTCTCTTCCGCTTTCCCATCCTGATACTCCCATCACTTCCATTGACATAAGTGTTCACGTATATTTTTCAGTGAGTAAAAATCAGAGAGCATAATTACAGCCCAAATCCAAAGAATTTCATTTTTATACTATTTAGTATTTTTTTTATAACGCTTCATTATAAACACTTTTAATTGTTATAGCTGCTGTCTTATAACCCATTTTTTTAAAGCAATCTCCCTTGATCATTCAAAGGAAATTACCGATTTGAAAATTTCATCGATGCCAGCATGTAAAAAAATTAAAAATTCAAACATGTTCGAGAAATCAAGTCTCTGTTATCCAGTTTACTTACGTTAGATATTTACAGGATTTTACTCATTGAGAATTCAATAATTATATTACGTAAATTCCTATAGATTTAAATTTATTTATACATTTAGCAAAGCGCTCTAGCCAATTAACTGAAGGAAGTAATCATCACTTCAAAATATTATGCCCTAGGATATAAAATATTCTTTAAAAGTTTAGAGTCTAGATAAATTATGTAAACACTAGTTTGGTTCTTATAACACGTGAATAAATCTCATTAATGGATCTAAAATAAAGATAAATCAGAAATCCTAGTTATGTATAAGCTGAAAATAAGAAGATGGAATTCTCAAAAATCTAGTTTTACGCATACATGGCTGGCTAATAGTAAATGCGTCCTTAATAAAAAAATATGACATTCTTATAATAACGAAAACAATAAAGTAAATAATTTAAATTTTGTTAACTTTGTCGACAAAATATTTTTATTTAATATTATACCTTTAATTGAAAAAGTTTGTAAAAAATTTAACTAGATTGGATTAAAGAAAGAAAAGTCAACTTTTTAATTAACATTATAATAACCCTGGCTTAAAAACACGAACAAATTAAGTGCAACTTAATTAGATGTCCGTTCAACTAATATCGGAAAAATTATTGTTGTTGAGGGACAAAACAACGTTCAATGGCCAATGTCCGTAACTGATAAAATCAGATGTCTAGTCTACGCCCATTGCTGTTGTTTAATGGAGAGTATAAAGCTGAAAAGGGTGTGTCGGCTAGCGGTGACAAAACTAAAAAAAGAATTGACAAAATACAAGACTTTTTCATTAAGGTAATTTGCTACGGGATAAACCATTACTCGGCATTTGATTATTTAGAAAAACAGGTGGCCGGGAGACTATACAATGATGTTTTAACCTTAAATCAGTCTGAATAGTCCTCATATAAGTTTTACTTTGAATCAATATACATAGTCTCATATAAATTTACCTTAAATATCCTTGAACGTTTGATACTTGAAAAAGTCCTTTAGTTGTGCTTGAATAAATGTCCACTTAAATTCAAAACAACAGGTCTAAAAACATAAACGTACAATTTTAATTTAATTGTAGACAGGTATAGGCAGGTTTAAGAACGCAAGAGTGATTGACTTTCACAATGCGATTAAGGTAAAAAAAAAAATACTGAGAACAAAAAGAGTTTCAAAAAATCCTCTTAAGCGCGAATAAAAGTTCAATTGTAGTTTATAATATTCAAGATTTAAGTGAACTTCAAGCTTACTAAAACATCTCGAAGAAAAAAAAATTATTTTAATCGCTCTATGAAAAACAAGTAAAAAACAAGTCATCTAACTCTTTATGATTTCCAAACAATTAACTTGTTTGTGTTGAAATCCCAACGAGACAATGTAGTTTTATTTTTACGAAAAATATTTCTTGGATTTGAAGTATTGAAGGAGTTTTGGTGACGAACAAAACGTTTATAATAATTTGACAGAATCTTTAGCCATAAGGTAAAATTATTTTGTATTGTGTATACTTACACTTGAAATCCTGTCAGTTACAATCGACCGCGCTGTGTCGGCGTTCAAAATCGATTCCAAGTGGAGGAGTAAGTGCTCATTTCTTCGCTATTGAAACTATACTAAAACGTTTGCAAAGGCACACGACGGCTATCGGCGTTCGGCGGTGGTGGCGGCTGTGACTAAGAGAAGCGTAGGGTTGCAGCGGCAGGCGTTTGCACCGCTTGCCGCTAGTGCAGGTGGAATCAATAACGTACGTCCCGCTCGTGCGAGGAGGGTGCTTCAACTTTCCCCTCCATTCACATCCCGTCGCTAACTATTCACGTCCGCACTCTGGACTTGAATCGAAACGGGGAGGATAACGCGCGGCGGCCACACCCTTCGGTGGTGGAGTGACGTATATGTATGCATAAACCGCGTAAAAGTTACATTGTGACCGCCCTTCCTCCTTATCTACATTTCCCCTTCAAGTCATGTTCCAATGAAAATATTATGACTACCCTATTCCGTTCGCTTCCATTATTCATAATTAATTTTTCCAGCAACCTAGAAGCTCTTTGCACGAAAAAGAGAATGATAGTGAATGAAGGGTAGAGAAAAGGGGGTGTTTTAAAATGAGAGTGAGATTGTTGTGTTGCTCAACGACAATGTTTGGAATCCCTGCGGAGCTGTCAACTGCAAAACACGGTATTATTATTATATTAGTGAGTATAATGAATTAGATATAAATTTATCTGGTTCACCCTTTATTAATTTTTTACTTCAATTTAATTCCTAACTAAAAATGTATAACAAAGAATAAATAATTGTTAATTAATGCAACATATTTTGTTATACTCTTAGATTGTTTGATATTAAAACTATAATTATACCTATTTATAAATTTTAAGTCAAGTTTAATAATTTAATGTCTGTCGAATTTTTTGATCTAACACATTAAAAAAAAGTAATGATGTTTTTATTACTTAGTTAATTTTTTTACTAGCTGTACAACTGAAATTAGAGTGTTGATATTTTTTTTATCCTTAACTAAATAATATTTCATACTTTATTTTAAGAAATTAAATAACTATGAGTAATTTTTAATTAAAAATTTAAGAAGCATTTTTGTGTACGACTGAATAACCTATAAGTAATCTAGACATACCATAACACATTTTTCTTTATAAAAGAAAAAATTTAGATTTGTTATAAAAAGTATGAATAAAATACTATTTGCGTCTCCGCTAGTTGTAGTTAGCTTAGTAGTTCGTCTTCGCTATTTCGAGACTGACCTAAATATCTGAAACATTTAACTAAGTATAATTATATTAACAGTAGAAAAATGACTTATGAGGTGTTATCCTTTTAGATAACACGGTATTTAATAAATTTATTATTAAATATTATCCTAATACAATATTTTTTACGTGTTATAAAATTACATTAAAAATAATGAAGTAAGATCTCATGTATTCAAATCCCCTATAACACGTTTATATTTATTTTTATACTCCATTACTTCAAAAACTACTAATAAAAAATGTGCAAATATTTTGAAAAAATTAATTATGACCATGATTTTTAGTTCTAGACCATTGTACAGAATGTTAAAAATAACGAGAAAAGCTAACACAATTGTACGTAACGCTAGCAAGAAAAGTGAATATGATAGTTGAATATCGACTATTTAATATTGATCTCGTTATGCAAATTTATCTGAATTTAAATCGAGCTTTAGCGCCAAATCACTAATGTTAAAAACATACAGTGTAGCACTCAATTGTGTTATCAAGAACTTAGTGCGAAAAAGGGAATTTCGTTCGTTATGATATGTTTAACCTGTAATGCAGTGTTTATCGGCCACAAGCACTAGTTCAAGCCGTATCGCGTTTCTTTCTTGAACTGTAGTACATCAACGTATCGTATAGTGTGTAATTATAATGGTAAGTTTTCATCCATTTTAATCCGTTGTTATATTGATCAAAATTTAATTTTAACCTTATAAATTTGTTTCTTAGGGTATCGACATTGATCATAAGCGCGGCCATAAGGCTAAGCGGACTGCTCCAAAGTCAAAAGATGTATATTTATTGTTGTTGGTCAAGGTACTTTACTTACTTATGTAATTAAGATTATTTTCAATTTTTTATACAATTGTGTAATTGAAAGCCTCTTATACATTTTAGTTGTACCGTTTTTTGGCTCGTCGTACCCGTTCTCATTTCAACAAAATCATTTTAAGACGTTTGTTTATGTCTCGCATCAACAGGCCACCATTATCTTTGAGTGCTATTGCCTCAAAAATGAATAAGATCAACGACGAAAAACGCATTGCTGTTGTTGTCGGCACGATTGTTGATGATAAGAGGCTGTTTAAAACGCCCAAAATTACAGTATGTATTTCATTTTAGGCTATCAATTCAATTGAAATTTTACTGGCAAATCAGTATATTGAAAATATTTTTAGGTGTGCGCTCTTCGTGTAACTGCTGGGGCTAGGGCTCGTATCTTGAAAGCTGGTGGTACCATTTTAACTTTTGACCAACTTGCATTAAAAGCTCCAACTGGTAAAAATACTGTTTTATTACAAGGTGAGTGAAACATTTTTAATATGTTAATGTAACATTTTGTAGCATGTTAATATACAATTTAAAAAAATGTACTTTATATTTTTCAACTAGTTAAAAATCTTATTATTTTCATTATGCTTTTAGGAATTATTTTAATTTAGTGGTTAAATAATTGTTCAGCTTTCAATAACACTAGAAAAATTTATGTATAATGTAGTTNAAAATAATTGTTCAGCTTTCAATGACACTAGAAAAATTTATGTATAATGTAGTTCTGTCTCTTATTTTTCAATAATTAATAATCCTATAGTTCATAAATTATATTTTCTTCAGATTTCCCAAAATATAAAAATACCTTTCACATATAGTATAAATTAATTTTTCTATAATTTCATTCTATCAAAATTTATTAATACTTTTGTATAGTAAAAATAAAATTGCAATATTTGTCAGAGCTTTTCTAGTGAGTTGTCTCTTATAATTAAGGTTCTGTTAATCAATGTGTATTTCAAAGCCCTTAAAAGAACCTTAAAGTTTCTATTTTTAAGTTTGTGTCAATGCAAGATTTCTTTTTGTGTTAATAATTAACAAATAACGAAAACAAAAATTGTATAGTATTTATAGTTATTAAAAAAGTAAAATTGTAATTTTCGCATTGTTAAAATATTTCTTTTCCTCAATGTTTCTATATATTTAATTGTAGTTTTAAACGGCACATGCCTATTATTATCTAAAATTACTTCTTTAATTTGATTCATGGTATTTTTCAAATTGGTTAACACATTATATTTTAACAAATAGACATGATTATAATTTGTAGTAAATAATTTAACCAACTGTATCATATTTTACCCATACTACATTTATTTTTTTTTAAAAATATAAACCAAAGTACATATATTACTATTATATAAATAAACAAAAAGCTTGTATATTTAAATGAATGTCGACTTTAACTTAAAAGATGATTTGTTAAACCCTGATTCTATTTTTTATATTTTACTTTTTTTAGGTAAGCGTAATTCTCGTGAATCAGTCAGACACTTTGGTCCTGCTCCAGGTGTTCCACACAGTCATACTAAGCCTTATGTTCGCTCAAAGGGTCGTAAGTTTGAACGTGCACGTGGTAGAAGACGTGGATGTGGTTTCAAGAAATAATCACCCTCTCTTTTTACTCTATATTATTTTTATTATATATTTTGTGAAAATAAAGGGACCGTTGTCAATAAATATTCTTTTTAAAAAATTTTTTTATTTTAAAACAAAAACATACATTTATAACTTTTATAAAACGACAAATAATGAAAAACCACAAGTATATTACATAGGAAAAAAAATAAAGTAGAACAACCATAGTAAGCTTAAAATCAAAATATACTTAAATAAGCTATAAAACCCACTGTGAACACAGTGTTACAATGAATGCAAAACTTTCTTGGACTAGATTAATTAGATTATATTAGATTCAATAATTTTAAAGTTGTAATACGATATTCTGTATAAAGATGAACTCAGTTACCAAACTCTAAAATCTGGCCAATAATTAATTTGATACCTTGTTGTACTGCCTTCAAAAAGTCTGTCAAGCCACATGGGTAATCCATCAAGTAAATTTTCAATACGTATATCCTCTTCTTTATCCTTCAAATTAAGATCAAAGTAAAAATGTTAGAATAGAGATACACTATATAAGATCAAAATAATAAATACAAATTGATGATATCATATTAGATTTAATTAGCATTTATACTTGGATAGTTAAAGATATAATTACCCCAAATATTTTTTTTCAATAATAAGAGTTTTGTAATAATAAGTAATAGATTTATTATAATGACCTTTAAAATTGGTTTAAACCCTACAGTACTTTCCTCATCTTCATCATAACTTAGAGATTCTTCTTCAGACTGTTCATCAAAACCCCAAAACTCTTCCCCATTTTTTGGAGGTTTCGTGCCTACTCTTCTCCACTTGTCATTTTTCTGCAAAATTAAAATATTTACAATTTAATTTTTTGAATTTTAATAGTAATACTTTACAAATATTAGAGTAAGCAAGTTAAAAATTTTAAATAAAAAATAGTATCTATATTTTTACAAGTTAAAAAACTACATTGAAGAATTTGTAAAAAAAGTTGCTTCACGCTACACAAAAAAATTCTCATAAATTTAAATTAAATTATGGACACCATATTTTTATAAGCTAGATTACAAAAGTACTATTTATTCTTAATAAAAAGTACAACAAACTTAATAAATATTATTGGTATACTAGATTTAAAATTTAATTCTCTGGAAATAACAGTTAAGTTAAAAGTTCTTTTAAAGTTATTAATTTTTTCCTATCTACCCATAAACAAAAAAATCTTTGTTAACAGTTCTCAAAAAAATGATATTTTAAAAATACTTTTTGATTGTTTATTTAGATGTTACGAATAATTCACATGAGTTTCTGATTTTAAAATTTTAATCTTCATCTGAATTTCTATAGTAAAAAAGTCTCAAGAATATTTACGGTGTTTTATGTAAAATAATTTATTTATTAAAATAAGGTAGTTAGAACAAGTTTTCAAAATGTATTTATTATTAAACTGGTCAAAGATAAACTTCAATAATACACTCAAGATTTTCCAAGGAGTGAGTTTCCTGAAAGATAAAGTTCAATACCTCTTCCAATTTTTTTTGTAAATACATAATTTCATAAAGGGTTTCACTCCTTCTAGATTTAATAAAATGATTGCTTAGAGATTAATTAAACCTACCTATATTGTTGTATATTGTTATTATGTTGTTGCATACAATTGTATTAATATTATTTTTTAAATNATGTTGTTGCATACAATTGTATTTATATTATTTTTTAAATGAAAACACATTCAGCGCAGGAAAAAAATTTAAAAAAAAGATTGACTTTTTGGAAGTAATATTGAATACAAACTTCTGATTTGTTATGCTATGCATAACTCCTCATGTTTAAAATATTTTATCCATATTTACAGTATTTTTTTCATAACTTACACACACATTCCCTTAAGTCCTAAATAAAGGTTATAATAAAAAAACAAAGTATAACCCACTTAGGTTATAAATTAATTTAACCTTTTTTCCTGAGCACACCTAGGATTTTACTTTATATTTTGATAAAATTTTTTTTTTATATATAATTAAAAATCTCTTAAATTATTATTATGCATTATATTTTTTATTTATTTTATAAAACTTAATAGCTTTGTTTGGTCTATTTCCATAATTTAGTATATAAAATAAAATAATTATTACATAATTAATAATATCATTATGTAATAATTAATTGATTAATAAGATAAAAACTACTTTTAGTCAGTTAAATTTCCAACTAAGAATTATACTTACATGCCGAGAAGATTCAGGATGTTTTGCATGATACATGCAGAAATATTTCTTTAAAGAACACAATGAGAGCACAGTGCCAACACAGTTTTTAGTATTTATATGGATTCTTTTGTCTGTGTCAACAAAACTTAAAGATAGCAACTCACGATACCATTCTTTGGATGGAATGCGATCCAAATTTAAATAACCAAACATTAATGATTTATTTCTATAAATGTAATTAATAAATAAATAGAAATTTAAAAAATAATAATAATTATTCATTTATTATAAGTTATAACATACTTCCTGTAAGGCCACACAATGTTATAAAACTGTCGTACTAAAACAACAGCACTATTGTTATCTATTAAAAGAATAATTGTTCGACATCCTGGTTTGATTAAACGCACTAAACCATTATATGTTTCAGCTCTCAACTCATGAAGTTTAAGTTCACGTTGCTTAGGAACTTGACTAACTTTCGATTTTGATTGGTTGCCCATTTTTCCATCAATTTCTTTCATTTCTTTTTCACTAAAAATAAATAAAACAAAACATATAAATATTAATTAAAAAAAAAAAAATACAAAACAAAAATTATTTCCTTAACATACACTAATGTATACATATAGTAGAAAAGAGTCATCAATCCAATCATCAGTAAAACCATATACATATAGAAGAATCCATGATTTATAATACCATCAATAGTACCATAAAATATTGAGATGATATGCAATTTAGCTCTAGCCGCTATTCGCATCAACAAACTTTGACCATGTTCATCCAATACAACCCCGATGTGCACTTCATTTTTTAGAGTTGATGCACTATCAAGTAATGCATTTAACTCTCTTGTTAATCTCTCCTAGTAAAACAAATATTGTTATTATTGAAATAGAATAAAAATATTTAGACTTACTTTAGTAAGCTCATAATTTGCCCAGTCATTATATTTATCTCCTAATAACCATTTATAATTAACCATAATTTTATTCACTCTAGTCAATAAAACAATGTGTAGAAGTGGTTCACTAGGACTCTCTCCACCTTGTATTAATGAATTGATAAAATGAGGTTGTCTTTCTCTAAATACATACATAAATGCTAATTGATCATCAGGATAAATTGTTTTAGATTCTATGGCGAAACGTCTAATTGATTGTCGATGAGCTTCATGACTAGGAGAATTATGAGACACCAATACAAGACAAAAACGTTTTTCACCAATAGGACAAAGAGTGTCAAATACATCTTGGGATGAAAGTCTAGGCAAAGTCAAATATTTATTGCTTTCTATCAGATTACGTAAACCAACTACAGGTATTTTAGGCATTGACAGATGTGCAACAGGCTGTATAATGTTTTCTTTTAATATCAATAAAGTGTCTTTATCATAAGGTACTTTATACCGGTCACGTATCAAATGGCATTCTGAACGTCCAATGTTTACAAAACTAAAGAAATAATTTATGATTAAAAATTTTTAATTTAACTATTAATAATAGGTTTACCCAAAATTAATATGATTTCTATATTCTAGTGCAATCAAAGCATAACGTAATCTAAGAGGTGAGTTTGGTTGCATGACTAACGCCCGTACACGGTTATCAGATGACCAAGCATTTAAAAATTTATCTAAATTTCTATCATTGAACTCTGGAATAAGATCGTCCGGCAAACTTTTACGAGCAAAATCTATAACAATAAAATGAATTAAGAACATCAATTCATTGTTATACCATAATTATAAAAAAAAAATTAGGTTTCTTACTTATAATATTATCACCACTTAGTAGCGAATCTTGACAAACCAAAAGATTTGAATCAATAATAGATACTAAGTGTGGAACAAAAACTCCTTTAGCTCTCCAAAAAGCTGATGGTTCCATATCTTTGTTCATCGTTTTAAAATCTACACCTAAAAATTTTATAATTTATTTTGACATGTTTCATTAAAAATTGTAGATGAGTACATACAGATGGTAATACTATTTTATTATATTTAGCTTACCAATTGCTGTTAAGTCTTCAATTGATTTTTTAAACACTGACTGTGTTTTAAGGAAAGCTAAAGAAAATTCTGAGTAAAAAAGTATTAAAGTAAGTTTTTTACTCTTTTTGGTCACCATTAATTTATTAAAATCACTAAAACAAATCAAAGTAATTTTTTTATAAAGGAAGTTATTTTTTATTGATTAAAATATAAATTATACAAAACTAACACTTACTCTAAGTTAATTTGTAATTTACGAAAAAATTCAAAATTTTGCTGTTGGTGCATGCTATCAAAAAAGTTATCCATGTCAAAGTCAAAAAATTGATTAAAACTACTTGTGTAACTATTAGTTGAGAAAACATTATTGTTCTGATTTTCTTTGTTCATTAACGTCTAAATTATAATAAATACATATATAGTACATAATATAATGAATAAAAATATTTATAGGCATAATGTATAAAATTAAAAAAATTGATGTTACAATAAAAGTATCTACTTAATGTTTTTCTAAATATTTAAAAGAATCAGCATTAAAAACAACTTTTTAAAAAATTAACTTAAGTTGTTCATAAAATTAGATGACTTTTTGTTAGTCTACTTAATATTTCCATCCTCAAAATCTTCTTAAAAAATAAATTATTTTACGATTACATATTTAGAAATATTTTACTTACTTCATAAGCTTTAGTAATTTCAATAAATTTAGAAGTTGCTTCAGGATTGGTATTCTTATCTGGATGCCTAATAATAAATTAATCACACATTATAGATGAACTTTTAACTTATTTAAAACTATTTACCATTTTTTAACTAGAGTACGATAAGCATTTTTTATAGCACTTATAGATGCTGATCTTGACACGCCAAGAACTGAATAAGGATCTTGGGCGGAAGATTTTACCACTAAAAGAGTAATAAATAATACAGTTGAAATCAACCGCCATTTCATTTTTACAGAGGTCAATGTGACATGGATTCACGACATTTTTAACATTTTAATAAAAATATTATCACACAAATCATTAATTAACTTATCCTACATTAAAAAATTTTTAAGTCATCACTAAAGTTTACTATGTTTTTTCTCTATGAAGTTCGACTACTGATATAGTTTAATTATTGATAAAAAGTTGTATAAATGGTTGGTAAAACTGATAATGCCCGATATGAAGTAATTTAATGATAAGGTCAAACTGACGGCCGAGGTGGATAATCCATTCGCTCATGGTAGTTATCAAACAAGCTGAATGTATAATATTTAATGTATCTGAACAACTAATGTAATATTTACTATGGTTGAACATAACATCACACTGAAGTTAGACTAATTTTTTACATTTTAACAAGTATTTTTTTTTAATATTTTATTACTTATACTAATTTTTTATTAAAATAATTTAATCATTTTTTAGTTACCTTTATATTTTATGTTTATGATTATTTAATAAGTTAGTTACCATTTTTATTATATTGTAACCTGATGAAATTTTGAAACAAGTTTTACCGATAATTTTTTAACGCTTTTAGTCTATTTTAATTTAATTTTGAACAACAATTTATTTTTACAAAGAGTGTCTATATAGTCAATATTAACTAATATTTAATATTTATTACAATAATACTGTATTTTAATAGCCAAGTTGAGAATTTTTAAGGATTGTCACTCTTTTTTAATCGTTAAAAATCCATAGTTAGTCAGGAAATTATAGATCTGTCAATTATATTGAAAATTATTAGGTAATGACCCTTACCTCCTATAGAACTATACAATATGACTTAAAATATGGCAAAAAAGAAGTGATAGACAAAAATAAAAATAAATTCTAGGGTAGTCATTAAAATTCAATATGTAAAATGATATAATTATAATGTTTAAATTTGTTCAAATATAGGTTTTTCATATCATACGTCCAAAGTTTCAGATGTATAAGTTAAAATAATCCCATGCCGGACACGGGTTGAAATGTGGACGTTAAAATTAAAAAAGAAACATATCTGTACAGATAATTCAAATCTAGATAGTTCTCAAGAGAATATACATATAATTAAGACCATGAATGAAATGGTCTTATATGTAAGATACAAGTGGTACGCTGGGGGTGGTTCACTAGGTACTGTAAAATATGAGTTGGCAGGCCTAGTCCTTCTACAAGCAAGAAAATTAAAAGCTTCAGACTGTCTATGCCGTACAATCGGCGACTTCGTATCTCTAGGAGTTGGTTTTACTCACACTACCGGCTTGCACTTAACGATTTAACTTAATTTCAAATTATTAGCAGCCAGCTAATCAAGATACGTATTATTTACTATATTGTAATTATATAAGCCAGAAAATTCGAGATTGTATGAATATGGACGTTGACTTTATCACGAGCATTGAAAAAGCGTATATTTTTGTATTACTATATATTAACGTATTAACTGATATGTTTTTTCTATGAGAGATAGAAAATTTTATTTAATGTAATAAGATCCATTTCTTATCAAAATACTACTGAATTACCGTCTCTCATGATTAATTTTAAATCAATTTTTTAAATGTTAAAAACTATACATACACACATATATATATAATACTCTTACTTTCTTTCTTTTTTCTTCTTTGTTTTAGCTGTAGATATTTGACTCAATAAGGTGGTTGAAAAATATCAACAAAATATAATTTTTCAAATAGTCTAAGTATCAGAAGGTTAATAATCACATATATGTGTAGAAGTATAGCATAACAGTCGACTTAATTATATTAATAATAGTTTAATTAAATCGCTTCATTATAATCTTTTATGTAATAATTTATTTGTATATTATATAGGTAATAAAAAAACAACCACTGATTAATAATCAACAAAGTTTATTACAAAAAATATACATATAATATAAAAAATATATATTTAACAATGTACTTGACAACAATATGTTTCAACAAATATACAGATTTAATAAAAGAAATAACAAATACAAAAAAGTAAATGAAAATGTAATAAAAAATGAAAAATGTAATAAACAATTAAAAAAATTGTTATAAATAACATAAATCGAGATATTTCTCAGCAGAAAATATACATAATTATGACCATTAATATTTATAAATGATCAGTTACCTAGCATCCACGATATCATCTCACTTGTAACGCTTTGAATGGTTAACTTGGTACTGAAAAATATGTGTTGGCAGGCCTAGCCCTTCTACTGGCACGACGATTAAAAGCTTCAGGCTGTCTATGCCGTACAATCAGCGGATTTGTAGCTCTAGGAGTTGGTTTTACTCGCATTATTGGCTTGCACTTGGCGATCGCCTTTCGAGTTGTCTTGGACAATATCAACAAAAAACAAGGCCTCGTGTTTTTTGCCAACGGTTTATGGTAATAAGATCCATTCGGGACACGGAACACGAGTACTGCTTTAAGTTCATCACCCAGACTGTTGTTACCGCAACACTTGATAGCTGGGGATGTCTTGAGCGCGTTCGACAACTGCGGTGTCGCGTTTATCTCATATTTTCGTTGGCCAAGCAGGTAGGAAGTGACATCACTCATCCGACATCCTCTTAAAACGAAACGCTTATCGTCTTCGGAGAACTGAAACGGATACCTAGTGCCTATGGAGAATATTGAGTAGTACTGATACCCGTCAAATGTCTCCAAAGATAAGTCGGGGTCGTTTGATATAACCATTTTCATGAAACGCTTTTCATCTTCTGGACATAACAAACGCAGCGCATTTTCAGATTTAATAGACAACTCGACAACGTGCTGAAAAATATCCTTTGCCGGTAGTTGCTGATACGACACTTGATCGCTGTACATTTTCCACTCCGTAAAATTGGCAATCTCACGGACATCAGCAGCAAAAGATATTTTGTCGAAATCGTTATTTTTCTTGAAATAACGCCGAGGAAAGAGCCACTGAAATTCGCGGTACATCTCAAAGTACTTGACATTGGTTGCGAGTAAAATCAGCTGCATCTCCAAAGAGTATTGTTCTTGGGCGCATGAAACAGCCATTGTTATTCTTGTAGTTTGCACGTAGAAACAAAACGGATTGAACAGTTATTAAACACGTATTGAACTTAAGACAAATCACAAAAATGTGTCGAAGGAATAACAAAATGCAGCCTCTTATATATGAAATATTTCAAAATATTTTGGCCAGCTACGAATAAATAAATCATATAAAAATAATAGTTTATTGCAAATTATTAGCAGCCAGCTAATCAAAACACTTATTATTTACTATATTGTAATTATTTAAGCCAGCAAATTTGAAATTGTTTAAATCTGGACGTTGATTTTATTACGAGCATTGAAAAAGTGTATATTTTTGAATTATTTATAAATACTAGAAATATTTCGTGTCTAGTAGTATTTTTATTTTTTGTTAATTTAATGGTTGATGATAAAAAAAATCACTCTGTATATTAGAAATAAGTATTAACATAATATATATTATTATGATATGACCATAATGAGCGTTTTTTATATTTGTCCATAACAATTCTCATCACTCATTTGACTTATTTTAATAACTAAGATGTTCGAAGAACGTAATTTTAGTCTAGTTGAACCTATCATGCCCAAAAATTAGTTAAAACCTACTGTATTTAAGAAATATCTCATTATTATATAGCTATAAAAAATGACATTTTTGAAATTTTTTTTTGTATTTAAAAACTGTGAAAACTTTTTCCAATATATTGATTATAATAAAACACAATGTATTAAATAAAAAAAAACAATTTTACAATTAAATGTTCTTTTTTACTTTTACATAAAAGTATTTATTAAAAATATATACTATTACGATATGTTTATTATAAAGGAATTTATTTATTAAAATATTTTTATAGTTTTTAACATTTAAAAAATTGATTTAAAATTAATCATGAGAGACGGTAATTCAGTAGTATTTTGATAAGAAATGGATCTTATTACATTAAATAAAATTTTCTATCTCTCATAGAAAAAACATATCAGTTAATACGTTAATATATAGTAATACAAAAATATACGCTTTTTCAATGCTCGTGATAAAGTCAACGTCCATATTCATACAATCTCGAATTTTCTGGCTTATATAATTACAATATAGTAAATAATACGTATCTTGATTAGCTGGCTGCTAATAATTTGAAATTAAGTTAAATCGTTAAGTGCAAGCCGGTAGTGTGAGTAAAACCAACTCCTAGAGATACGAAGTCGCCGATTGTACGGCATAGACAGTCTGAAGCTTTTAATTTTCTTGCTTGTAGAAGGACTAGGCCTGCCAACTCATATTTTACAGTACCTAGTGAACCACCCCCAGCGTACCACTTGTATCTTACATATAAGACCATTTCATTCATGGTCTTAATTATATGTATATTCTCTTGAGAACTATCTAGATTTGAATTATCTGTACAGATATGTTTCTTTTTTAATTTTAACGTCCACATTTCAACCCGTGTCCGGCATGGGATTATTTTAACTTATACATCTGAAACTTTGGACGTATGATATGAAAAACCTATATTTGAACAAATTTAAACATTATAATTATATCATTTTACATATTGAATTTTAATGACTACCCTAGAATTTATTTTTATTTTTGTCTATCACTTCTTTTTTGCCATATTTTAAGTCATATTGTATAGTTCTATAGGAGGTAAGGGTCATTACCTAATAATTTTCAATATAATTGACAGATCTATAATTTCCTGACTAACTATGGATTTTTAACGATTAAAAAAGAGTGACAATCCTTAAAAATTCTCAACTTGGCTATTAAAATACAGTATTATTGTAATAAATATTAAATATTAGTTAATATTGACTATATAGACACTCTTTGTAAAAATAAATTGTTGTTCAAAATTAAATTAAAATAGACTAAAAGCGTTAAAAAATTATCGGTAAAACTTGTTTCAAAATTTCATCAGGTTACAATATAATAAAAATGGTAACTAACTTATTAAATAATCATAAACATAAAATATAAAGGTAACTAAAAAATGATTAAATTATTTTAATAAAAAATTAGTATAAGTAATAAAATATTAAAAAAAAATACTTGTTAAAATGTAAAAAATTAGTCTAACTTCAGTGTGATGTTATGTTCAACCA